GCAAGGATGGTAAAACTTCACCCTACAAAACAACTATATCATCTCACCCCAGTCAGAATAGTAAAATTTAACAGAACAGCAAGCAACAAATGCTGGCGAGGTTGTGGAGAAACTGGAACCCTTATTCACTGTTGGTGGGAGTGTAAAATGGTGCAACCACTGTGGAAGGCAGTATGGTGCTTTCTCAAAAAGTTGCAAATAGAGATACCATTTGACCCAGCAATTCCTCTATTGGGAATATACCCCAAAGAGACCATAACTGGCATCCGAGCAGATATATGCACTCCCATGTTTATTGTGGCTTTGTTCACAATAGCGAAGAGTTGAAAACAACCTAAGTGCCCATCAACAAATGAATGGATAGAGAAGCTGTGATATATTCATACAATAGAATACTATGCTGTATTGAAAAACAAAGAACTAATGAAATGTTATTCAAAATGAGTGACCCTGGAGGACATTATGCAGAGTGAAATATCTCAGTCACAAAAGGACAAATACTGCTTGGTCCCACTGTTGTAGAATCCGACTGACATTGGGGCTGGGGGGAGACTAAGAAAGATGGAATAAATAATATATACTGCATTGAAACAGATGATGGAGAAAACTGTTTAAAAGGGATATGTGATTAGGTATTATTGTCATGACAGGAGTCCAGAACGAAGGCTGCATAGTGGAATGGACTTGGGGGGAGGGATTGTATAATAATGAAACGATTTTTCTTTTCCCTTTCAAAGAGAAGAGTGAACTGGGGGAGGGGTAGGCAGGGAGAAAAGTGCAACAATGAATGAATGGAAATCCAAAATCTCTGTAAATTTTCATTAAAATTAATAATAATTTTTTTAAAAAGAAAATTCCTATTAAAACTTAACAAAACCCCAAACTTCACCCCACATACTTTGATTATGTTGCCAGGAGGGATTGGTGCTTGGAAAAAAACATCATCATGCTGGGAATGGTGGAGCGATTAAGGTGGAGGGCAATGCATCCTCAACAAAATGGACTGAGACAGTGGAAATGAGCATAACAGAGAATGTGAGGTTCAGATGTGTTGTTCATAAGGTCATTATAAGTTGTAGTCTACGCGATGGCGCCTCACAACAACTACAACGACAACGACATGTCCACAGCAAGCGAGTCCAACAATGATCCAGTGTCGGGATCCTGAAGGATTTTAGCGGCTAATTTTCAGAAGTGCAGCTCCAAGAGTTTCCTCCTGTCTGTCTTACTCTAGAAGTGCCATTGAAGTCTGTCCTTCGTGGGTCATTGAGCAACCCACAAGCTACCACCATAAAACTAACCGACACGGGAGTGGTGGAAACGAGTTGCCATCAGATCAGCTCCAGCTCGTGGAAATCCCACGTGTGTCAGACTAGAACTGTGCTCCACAGGGCTTTCAATGACTGAGTTTTCAGAAATGGATCAGCAGTCTTTTCTTCCAAGGTGCCCCTTGGTGGACTCCAGCTTCTAATCTTTCAATTAGTAGCTTAACTCTTTACACCTCCCAGGGGCTTTGGTGAGGAAAGTGCTTGTGAAGAAGAGCAGCAAACATTTGGCTTTGTGGTAAGGAGTTGTGCTGCCAACCTAAAGGCATGAAGTTCAAATCCACCAGCTGCTCTGTGGAAGAGAGATGGTCAATCTCTCCCTGTCTTTTGCTGCCTCTGAAAAATCCACCAGAGTCAGCTATAAGTCGGTTCCAACTCAACGATGTAAACAACATATTTATACAATATATTGGTATATATCTCAAACAGTTTTTAATTATTTTAATTTAGTGTGTGTGTGTGTGTGTGTGTATGTGTGTGTGTGCGTGTGTGCGTGTGTGCGTGTGTGTGTGTGTTTTCAAATCAGATCTGACTGGTAACAGGAGGAGATTGTCCCTCCTTCTCCAGCAGATCATCTGGTTGATTCGAACCACGCACCTCTGGGATTACAGTGCGGCTTCTTGCCGCTAAGCCAGCAGAGCTCGCCTATCTCAAACATTTCTATAGTGCTGAATATAGGATAAGCATAATAACTCATTGAATCTTCTTAACAGCCCTGTGATTGAGGTGGTCTAGGGGCAAGAAGCCTCATTGCAATCCCACCAGCTGCGCTCTGGGAGAAAGATGGTCAGTCTCCTCCTGTGTTATTTACTGCCTCTGATGACCTGACGGAGGGTTAGCTATGAGCTGATTTCAACTCAAAAGCACACAACAACAGCAACATGGTATAGGTACCATTATAATTTCCATGATAGAAGAAAAGGAGACATTGTAAAGTTCAGCAATCTACCTGACTCAATACTGGTAAGTGACAGCGCTGGGGTTTGATGCTAGGCAGCCTGGTTCGGATGCCCTCTTCCTCCCCACTTCAGAGGACCCGCTGACCCCTCCCTGGTATTTAATCTAGGCACTGTGGTGTTTTTTTTTCTTTTCTTTCTTTCTTTTTTTTTTTTTTTAAGGCGCTGTGTTACACTTCATCTGGCGTAATTGTTTGTAACGTTTCAGCAATCTTTCGTGAAGGAGTCAAGCTAATAGTCTGCTGGTCATATCCTTGAATAAAGCCGAGCATAGAACCAGCCTTTTGCAGGGTAAATGTTAATGTCTGTCCAGGTTTTCTTACAGCAGGGTAAAGACGGTGAAATGAGATGATGTAAAAGCACTTTGCAAAGGCCCACAGCCTTTTTCTTTTTAATCTGCACTCCATCCCAAGCTCACTCTTAAATGAACAGTCCCTAACAAGTTAGTATAGACATCTTCCCCCTCCTCTTCTCCCCAGCATATGGGGCCGGTCACCCATCTTCTGCCATCTTTTCAGAGTGCCCAGACCCTTGGTTTGTTTGATGTCTCCCTTCTTGTTCCAGTTTCCTGGCACCATTTAGTTTGCTAGCAGCTCCTTACTCCTTGTGTATGATGAGATCTTCTGTGCATCACTTGACATTTTCTCGTGGCAGCCTGCCTATAAAGTCTACCAGTGCCTCTTTCTGCCTGAACTGAGGTTAAATCAATCATCTGACTTTCACATCAGTCTGTTGCTATGGGGGCCACTGATGTCACATTGTCAGTATTATGATTACCATATTAACAGGCACAGAGGGATTGGTTGCCAGTAGAAACCCTCAGGTGAGACTTGCCCAGCTTTCGTAACCAACCCGACTGCAGAGACCACCATGTGAAGGGGTAAGTGGATTAATCATGCAGTCGGATTTCATCTGAATATTTTCTTCCATATGTGTGTTCCCTCTAGGCAATTGTCTAGTGTCACTTGAAATTGATGAGGGCTCTTTTGGAAGTTATTTTTGGGAAGCTGGTGAAACAACAGACAGCTGTTTCCGGGAACAAATGTCATAGGACCTGCCTAAGCTAGCTTTCCAGTGGGGGGGAAAAACCCCTAAAAACCTGAGGTACAATGTTCTTCCGTCCCAATGTTAGGTTGTTACCTGGTGACCAATGTTAAGTGCCAACAGAGTCATAACAGTGTTAGTTGAGCTTCCCAAACAAACAGAAGAGAGGGAAGTGAGTATTTGCTAAGTGCCTTCTATGTGCTGAGGAGTTCTGGTGGCCCAATGGATAAAGCACTAGACAGGGTGAACCCACCATTGGTTCCACAGGTTAAAGATTCAAACTGCTGCCCTTTTGACCTATTGTATTGCTGACCAATACAATACACACTATGACACCTGCCTTGGAAACCCTGTACAGCAATTCTACTCCATCCTCGAGTTCTACATCATCCTCAGGTTCTATGCCATAAAGTTCTACGCCATCCTCAAGTTCACTATCCTCCAGTTCTACACCATCCTCAAGTTCCATGACATCCTCATTCTTACTGTGAGTCAGAAAAAACTCAACAATAGTGAGTTTGGTACTATGTGCCAATCAAGTGAATCTCTTACAATTACACAGAACTGTTAAGCCAGGCATTCCGGAACAACCTGTTATGCATAACAATTCATGACTTTTTCTAGCTTGCATACAATGTTCCCTCTAATTAGACATTGATTGATCACCAATAAAGGCAAAGTCATTACTTAAAATTGGTCTAGATCCTCGTATGCCGAGTAATTATCTTGCAATTGTATTCACTGCAATATTAAAAAGCCTTAAAACATGATAGCAATGAGTTACAACCAAATGAATGCCTAAATTAAAAAAAAAATCTCTGTTAAAAGGGTTGAGAGGCGGGTCCGTCTTTGTCAGGATTTTGTTAAGCAGGTGGAGGGGTCAGTTTCGGGGAATGAGTGGAACGGATTGTCCTCGAGGCTCTGTGGACTTGGAACACCTCATCACGACTTGCATAAATCTATATAAACCCATTTGTGTGCCAGAGAATGAATAGCCGGCTTTTTTTTTTTCCAAATGCCAATTCAGCAATTACAAAGTCTGCTGGAGGTTAATTAAAAACCACCATCTCGTTATGTTCCGAGTTAAATTACAAGTGTGAAAACCACTACTGTTTGCAATAACTGAAGACCCAGTACTCTCTGTACTCCCATCAAAAGGAGGGCAGGGATAAAGAACTTTTACTTAACTCACTGAAAAAAAAATCTCTCTCAGCTCTTTCATATTTAATTAACTTCTTATCTTCTTGGATCTTGAGTCTTACTCAGAGTTTCTGAGCAGTGAGAAAAATATTTGTTCATTTGTCTGTTTGGGGGCAGATTTTTCTCACATTCACTGAGTAGAAGGTTAGAAATTGTTTAACCCCAAGGACGTTTTAAATATTGGACAGTGACACCCACCCAAGCCTTGTGTTAAGGAAGTCATCCTGGCAGGGACGTGTGTGTGTGTGTGTGTGTGTGTGTGTGTACAGTTTTTGACTGCCTTCAAGTCGAGCACAACATAGCCCCCCAGCAAATGGTGATTTTTGTTTCACTTGCAAAAATCTGGGGAAATGGAACTATATGCATTTTTTTGTAGCTAGGCTTTAGTATTTATTTAGATGACTACCTTAACAGCATTAATGTTTCAGTGTCTTGAAAGTTCCACCATCAGAAAAGAGGCCAAACTTACAGCACCATGGCGAATGTGAAGTGTCTGAGTGACAGTGAATTACAGGAAGAGCTTAAGAAGCTTGGCTTTTCACCTGGCCCAATACTACGTATGTATCAAATGTTAGAGACGAGCCATTTATCATTTAGAAACTTCTTTCAAAGGTTGAAAACATCTCATAGTGGAAGGGACAGGACATAAACAATTTTCCCCCACCCCCCATAAACATTTTTTTTAAACAAACACATTAAAATAGAAATTAGGAAATGCAGAAAAGCAAAGGTGGAGAACAGGCAGTAAATAAACCCAAATCCGATGTATAGGGTAATACGTATGGTACCAGGGGAGCTCAGACGGCATAGTCTGTCCAGAGTTGCACTGTGTCCTCTGGCGGTTCAAATCCACCAGCTACCCTGAGGGAGAAATGTGAACAATCTCTTCTCTGGCGATTTACAGCTGAAAACCTGCTAAAGGGTCAGCCAAGAGTGAGCGAGGGAGGAGTATGGCATTGGAGCCCACCAGTGCAAGTGGTTATGATTTATTTTGCTGCTAACTCAAAGGCTGGCAGTTCAAACCCACGTAGCAACTTTATGGGAGAAAGACTTGGTGATCTTTTCCCTAGATTACAGCCTGGGAAACTCTGTGAGGCAGTCACACGGCGTCACTATGAGTCAAAATATCTAACTGACAGCACCTGACACCACCGCCAAAAGTGAGGTAGGTAGCACTAGAGAAGAGGGATAGGTGAGAAACAAGTTGTTGTTGTGGTGGTGTACTGTCAAGTTGGAACTGACCCTCTAGAGGGTTTTCAGAGGCAGTTAATTGCATGGGAGGAGATTGCTCATCTCTCTTCCATGGAGCAGCTGGTGGATTCAAACCACACACCTTTGGGATTATAGCGCAGCTTCTTGACACTAGGCCACTAGAGCTCCCTGGTGAAGAGCTAGTTACACTTTATTATATACAAACCAGTGGATTTGGTTTTAGGATGTGCACCATGTTATCTAATTATATGTTCACTGGAAACTCCACAAGGAGCTTTCCACAGCCTTGCCCATCTTGTTCTGAGATGGATCTCAATGCCTGGCTTCACCTTAAGGGTTTGTGGAAGGAAGGAGCTGGGTTGAGTAGCCATGGCTACCCATTCATTTCAAAAGCCATCAGTATAAGTTACAAGAGTAAGAAGCTCTGCTGTAATGTCATATGCGAAGGCATTTTCATTGGTTCACATTCTTTCTCAGCTTCTACCAGAAAAGTGTATGAAAAGAAACTCCTCGTATTGTTGGACCTAACACCCTGTGATCTACCTGGGAAGAACAGACTTGGAGACCCGGATGAGTCTCAGGAAAGTGATGCCAGTGAAGGTACCATCGTCACCGGCATTGCTAGACAACAGCTTTACACTTAGTAATAAGTGTAAATAACAGGGGTGTGCAGGGTGGCCTGTGGGCTACCTGGGTGATTGTGTGACCTGTTATTTGCATTTATATCCTGGAAAGTAAGACCCCAGGGCTGTAAAGGGAATCTAATCCCATGTCTATACCCCTGTTGGAGGAGCCTGGGCGACATAGGGTGTAATGTATTGGGCTGCTAACTGAAAAATGTTGGCAGTTCAAATCAACCAGCTGTCCCACAGGAGAATTATGGAATTCTCCCGTAATGATTTATACCCTCAGAAACTCAATAGAGGGTTACTATGAGCCTGACCAAGTCAATGACAGTGGAAATTCACAGAAGAGACACGATTGGATTGACTGTGTGTGTGTGGTGGGGGGAGGAGGCTGTTGGCCTAGGCAGTGAGGGACTGGCCAATTTGCATGTCATCTTACTGACCATGGCCAAACCTGTGCTTGATTTCTTAAATAAGCAGTTTCTACAAGTAAATTCAGGGCCCGTTTCGAAGTCTCATATCTTTTCTTTGCCTAAATCCATTAATTTGACCCTTCTTTTACTCAAATGAAATTATTTCATGCCTCTTAAGAAAGATGAATGGAGCCCTGGTGGTGCAAGGTTAAAGTGTTCAGCTGCTACCCGAAAGGTTCACAGTTCAAATCCACTTTGCAGCTCTGCAGTTTGAAAGGCCCAACAATCTGCTCCTATAAAGCTTACTATCTAAGGAAAGTCTATATGGCAGTTTTGCTCAGTGACATGGGGTCTATATGAGTAGAAGTCAACTCGATGGTACCCTTTAACCAAGAGAAGTGAGTCTCCCTGAGCCATTCCAATGCCTGCTGCCTGGCTGCTTCCTGGCCGTCGGTGGTGTGTCCCAGGTACCAGAGCGGATGAGCAGTAGCAGTCATGGGCTTTGCTGAGTGCCCTCCCCATCCACCCCGCCATGTGCTCCATTCTCCTGCACTGGCTTCTACCCTTGGAACTCATTAGAGGTGAGCTAGAAGATTCCCACAATGCATTTCAAAGTTCTTTCACTCCACGAATATTAGGCCTTCTCAGTGAGTCGCTGTAAAATAACCGTAACTATTATTTTTCAAGGACCAAGCAATGTGTCTGGTGCTTGATGTACTTTCCCCTGTCTCACGCTAGTCCTTAACCAGAAGTGCAGGGTGCTGAGTGACTTGTCCACCATCACACAGGTAGGAAGCAGCTCTGGAATATTCCAGAAAAAGCATAAGGCTTGCCTGTCTTTGCACCACTGTGTGTCCAGCTCCTAGAACAGTATGAGGCACTTTGCAGGAGTTCAGTAGATGTCTGTTGAGGGAAAAGAAATTGTGGTAGCATAGTTCTTAATATATTAAATATATATAAATATATAAAATATTTATTTATATATAAATATATAAAAATACTCTTTATTGATTTTCATATATACTGTTACAGAATGTTTCTTTCATATACAGTGTTTTATACAATTTCTCATTTACATTGTGTTTCGTACATTCTTATACATTCTATTTTACATTATTTTTTGTTTTTGTTGTTGCTATGTGTCGTCGAGTCACTTGCGACTCATCATGACCCTGTGTACAACATTCCTAAACCCTGCTATGTCCTGTGCCAATCACACTGTCTCTGACACACCCACCCTGATTATCCCAGTCACTGAATCAATGCACCTCATAGAGGGTCCTCCTCTCCTGTGCTGTCCCTCCACCATCCCATGCATGACGTCCTTCTCCAAAAGTATGTCAGACAAAGCCTCAGAATCCTTGCCTCCAAGGAGCAGCCCGATTTAACCCTCTCCAGGATGAACCTGTTTGTTTTCTTAGCAGTTCATGGTATATTCAATAATCTTCTTCAGCACCACAGCTCAAAGTCATCAATTCTCCTTCTATCCTCCCTAGTCATTGTCCTACTCTCTGACTCATAGCAAGTAATTGCAAAGACCATGGCCTATATCAGATGCACCTTAGGCTCTAGAGTGACACCATTGTTCTTCAGTACTTTGGAGAGGTCCCTAACAGCAGACTTTCTCATCGCAATTTATAATTGTTTATTCGCAAAATTCAAATAAATTGTTTTTCACATCAGATCCTTCTCATTTCCCTCACCAGCCCCAACCCATCAAATTGTGCAACCCCATCCCACTTCCACATATCCAATATATTGCATTCTTAGCCAGAAGTTCAGCAGTTCAAATCTACCAGGGAGAAAGATGAGCAGTCTCTTGCTAAAGATGTACAGCCTAGGGGACATATTGAAGAGTCACTGTGGGTCAGAAATGATTCAGCAGTAAAGGGTTTGCTTTTTGGGTTTTAATTTGTTGAAGCAAAGTAACAGACTGATATTCAAACCTGTCATATTCTCATAATTGTCCTTTTCCACACCCCATTCCTTACCTGTTTCTCACCCTTTCAGTCAGGGGAAGGATGTTATGTTCTGACCATGTTTGACCTACAAAAAAATAGCAACTTCAGACAGTTCAGACTAATAGCTAAATAACCTTGTCAAGGGCTTGGGCCCCACTGCAATCAAGTAGAATCTGACTCATAGGACCCTCCACCTACTATCATGTAATCAATGCCCTAGTCCACCCTTCTTTCACAGGCCAAAGAAAGAATGGAAGAATGTGCCGGTGGAAGAGAAGAGAGGAGGGGGGGCAGTGCCCACGTGCCAAGGGAGCACAGCGCCCGCAGAGCAATCTTAGGGTTTCTAGGGAGAGCAGACCTTACGTGCATGGAACATTGAAGTGTAGGCTGAAGCTTTTTATTAGAGTGAGGGGATGAGAAGACAAAGATGAAGAGGCAGAAGGAAAGGTAAAATAGTAAAGATTTACATCTGCAAATGGGCAGACCTCCCTCCTTGAAAGGAAATGTGGAGGAGAGGCAGCTTGCTAGTGAGATGAGACTCTACTATGGTTTCCTTCTCTGGGTCAGCACTAGAGTCTGGGCCAATGAAATGATGCTTTGGAAAGTTTAGTGGGTGCTTCTCATTCTGATCCCTGTTCTCTGATGTCATTCATGTGCCCAGAGTGCCCACTACTTATGACATCACTCATACACCCAAAGCACTAATTGTATGCAAGTCAATATTGGCTTCCTGGTTTTGATAGCTTATTTTTTAAAAAATGATAATTTATTAAGAAGAAGCAGTGATGTCAGTCTAGAGACTAAGGTGAGCTTGATCCAGGCCATGGTTTTTGCAATTACTTGCTATGCATCAGAGAGCTGGATAATGACTAAGGATGTCAGGAGAGTCAATGCCTTTGAATTGCGGTGCTGGAGAAGAGTCTTGAACATACCATTTATCACCAGGAGAACAAATTGGTTTGTCTTGGACAGGATGAAACTAAGTTTCTCCTTGGAGGTCAGGATTTTGAAGCTCTGTCTCACATACTTTGAGCATGTTGCCAGGAGGGACTGGTCTTTGGAGAAGGATGTTATGCTTGGAAGGGTGGAAGGACAGCGTAGGAGAGGAAGACCGCAGATGAGATGGCTTGATAACAGTAACTGGGGCAATGGGGGCTGGTGTGTTGGAGTTAGTGAGACTGGCTCAGGACAGGGCTGGCTTCAGAGGTGTTGTACATAGGGCCGCTATGAGTGGCAGGCAACTCAAGGACACTTAACAACAACCCCCACAGCCCCCCGCACGGTCTTTAGGGTCACTTATTCTGCTTGTAGTCTGGAAGGAAGAAGTCTGGGGGCAGGGGAGCAGCGTATTGCTCAATTAATCCCATATGGTAGCTGAAACTCTCTCCTTCATATAGCTCAAAACCAGGAGGTAGCTCCTCTTCCTCAAACAGTGACTTCACCAGGGCCACCTTCTCCGTCTCCTTCCGCCTATAATTCTCCTGTAGGATCTGATGTTGTTCCAGAGAGGCCTGTTACAGAAACTGAATCCCCAGACAGCTGCATTTGTTATCCTGGATGTCAGTGCCAGTCTTGCCTGTCACACTCAGGTCACCAAAAAAGATCAAGGTAATCATCCTGAATCTGAAAGAATTTGCCCATCTCTAGCAGGATCTTCCTGGTGCTGGCATGTTCCTTCTCTCCATCGATGCCCACCATATACATCACAGCAGCTGCAGGAAGGTAAAAGGAGTAGAAAGCTGTCTTGTATTTGACAATGGATTTTTACCTCTTTTCAATGAATCTGCTAAGATATACCTTGCCCTGGGAGGCAGTGATGAGGTCCAAGGTCTGTCCAATCTCAGTCTGATAGGAACTCGGCAGGAAGAGCTCCGTCAGGTTCAGATAATAGGGCAAACCTCTGTTGTTGGTGCCTCCAAAAGCGTTGTACTCTAGGACTTTCCTGAGTTGGGTAACAGCCTCTCCTATTTCTGGGTGCCTCAGATCATCCTCAGTCAGCACTTTGAGAATCTGGGAGAAGTGCAGGATGAAATCCTGCTTCTCTTGGGCATAAGCCTTTGATTTCTGGTCTCCGTTCATTCTGAGGGAATGCTCTGTTCTTGGCTCTTGGTTCTTGCTAGGTCTGATTAATTTTTAAAGCATAAAAGCATATGGCCACTCATCTTGGTTCTAATTCTAACACACCTGGTCTCTGGGGCTGTAAAGCATTACAGGAGGTGGCTGCCTATCTTTCTCCCATGAGGAGATTGGTGGTTTCAATCTCTTAAGCTTCCTCATAATGCCTGGTGTTGGTGGTGACAACCTCAGTGAGAAAGCTGCCCCTGGAGGTCCTGCACTTGGGAAATGCAGAGAGAGAAAGGTTTGGAGATGGACCTCGCTGGATCCTGAGCTAGGAAAATTCTTGTGGAGGTATCTCAGGGCAAGCAGCCATAGAGACCCTCCCGCAGCCCTGGGCCTGCCTCTGTGTCCTGCTGCAGAAAGAAGCTAGAGCGCCTAGCCCAGCCCAGCCCAGCCCTCTGGTAAAATGCACATCAGGCTTGAGGATTCCCACTTTCTTGCCAGAGAAGGCAACCCGGTCTTAGGTCAAGTTGTTTCAGTCTGCAGTCATCCAGAAGTGGAGTCCTAGGGCGGGAGAAAACAAGTC